GCAGAAATATCTGAAGAGGATCTGGATTAGGTAGAGATTCCTTGAGGTGGAACATAGTTATGCTAAAGTGCATAACCCAGATGAAGTCGAAGAAGAAGAGCAAGATGCTGAAGATACTGGAAAGAGATAAGTCGAGAAGAGTCATCAATCCAACTTAGAGACCTGGTTATGCAGATCTTATAGCTTTTGCCTTAATCTCTACAAGTGAGGTACTTGAGGAAGAACCTAGAGACTACAAAGAAGCTAAGAGGAGTCGAAATAAGACTGAATGACGAAAAGCCATGGATGACAAGATGAAATCTCTTCATGATAATAACCCTTGGGAGATGATTGAGAAACCTGCAGAAGCCATGTTAGTCAATTGTAAGTGGATTTTCAAGGTCAAGGAATGAATCAAATGAGTGATGCCGAAGCGCTTTAAGGCAAGGTTGGTTGCTTGGGGGTTCAGTCAGAAAGAAGGTGCCAAAGCGCTTCAATGATGTGTTCACACCTATTGTAAAGCATAAATCCTTTAAAATGTTGTTAGCCATGATGGCGAAGTTCGACTTGGAACTTGAACAAATAGATGTGAAGACAACCTTCCTATATTGTGATCTAGATGAAACGATCCTGATGCGGCAACCTGAAGGGTATGTAGAAAAGGATAAGGAAAATCATGTGTGCAAGCTGAATAGGTCTTTGTATGACCTAAAAAAAATCTCCTTGAAAGTGGAATAGGAGATTCGACAAGTTCATGACACACATTGATTTCACTATGAGCCAGTTCGATCACTGCGTTTACTTCAGATTTTGACCTGGAAACTCACTTGTTATTTTGTTGCTTTATATGGGTGATATCCTCATAGCTAGCAACAGTGTCGAGGATGTAATGGAGGTGAAGGTTTAACTCAGTAAGGAGTTCGAAATGAAGGATCTGGGAGCTGCCACCAGGATTCTTAGGATTGACATCCAAAGAGATAGAAAACAATCGAAGTTATGTAGTGAGCCTTGTTTGAAGTGGATTCTTAGGTACATAAATGAGTATCTAAATAGAGTCTTGATTTATGGTGGAGCCTGTGGTGATGATAGCAAAGTCGAAATCGAAGGATATGTCGACTCTGATTATGCAGGTTGTATGGATTCCATAAAATCTATTTCTGGATATGTGTTCACTATGTTCGGCATAATAATCAGTTGGAAAGCGACACTTCAGAAGGTTGTTGCCTTATCAACCACTGAAGTAGAATATATTGCTCTAAATGAAGTTGTGAAAGAAGCATTATGGATTGAAGGTTTTGCAAAGGAGCTGAAACTTCAAGGTCGAGTTATCACTATTAAATGTGATAGTCAAAGTGCAATACACCTGTCGAAGAATTCAACCTATCATGAGCAGACCAAATACATCAATGCAAGGATGCACTTCGTCAGAGAGATCATCGAGCATGGAGAAGTCCAAGTGGTAAGGTTTTGACTAATGACAATGTTGCTGATATGATCACCTAGACATTACCGAGTTGCAAGTTTTTTCATTGTATGCAGTTGATAAAGTAGCATAATAAAAGCTAGTTTATTTCCTGTTATTGTAGAGTTTGTTCCAAGGTGGAGATCTGTGAGATATTGGATCAAACTCTAGTGTTGTCGACAAGGATGTTGTCAGCAGGTATAACTTTCATGTTTTAACAAGAGACAAGCATGAAGTCGAAGCTGGTTCACATGCTGATGTCGAAGGTTTTACATGCTATAGTCGAAGTTAGTTCTAGTATGTAATGTCGAATTGAGCCTTGTGTTATGGATTCAACGGTTTAGGTTAGCTTGTTATTTCAGTTAACTTAGTAGCCTATAAATATGCTAGTTCTCTCAAGTTGTTGAGAGATGTCAATTGTGTTATTCAGTTGTAATCATTTGTACCCTAATTGAGTAAATGAATAGAAAACAGTTTTTCCAAAATCCTATTCTCCTTCTTTCTTCTTTATTCTTTCTTCTCTCTCTTTGTTCTAATCGTTTCATTGTTCATCCAAAAAACTCTATTTCTCAATCGAGAATTTGTTAATTGGTATCGTTTGTCACAACAATAAAATTATGTTTCATCCCTTTTATTTTAAACTATACTTTTGTTGACAAAATGACGAGTCTCTTTTATTTTGATTGATGACTATATATATATATATATATATATATATATATATATATATATATATATATATATATATATATATATATATATATATATATATATATATATATATATATATATATATATATATATATATATATATAAAATGTGAATTTGTAATCTTTAAATTTTTAATGCGAATTCTTAAATTTTAAACTCCACCACTAAATATAATAAATTAGGGAGAAAATATGCCAAGCATTATAGCATTAAAGTAGAACTAATCATGAAAAACCATAAACTCTTATTATGATTAGCTAAAATTTCTTAATGACATTTATCTCTCATGACTCTTATTTACACTGCAAATTAAGAAAAACTACTTCATCCATCTCATATAACAATAATGACTTCAAAAGAGGGAAACTCTCAACATGAGGGATGGCATGAAAAGGTTGTTATACACTGCCTTCACCGATAAAAAAAAAAAAAAAGTCTTCGTAAAATGTCTATAAAAGAACTATGTAACTTCCAAATGAATTTACTTGTATACCAACAAATTTTACATTTGATCAAAATATTGCACAAAATTCATCTTGTTTTTTCGCCATGATTTAACAGTGTGCTAAATAAATTGAACAATTATATATAATATAAATAAATAAATACTTTAATTAACTCAAAAATATTTTACTCAAATATATTTTACTCAAAATAATTTTAAAAAATATTTAATAAAAAAAAATTAAAGGTTGTGCACTATCCGTATACATTAATTTTACACTATCATTCAATAGAATTATAATATTCTGCCATATGATATAAATATTTTAAAATTAAACTTGTAATTTGTCGAGATACATGTCTTTGATTAGTTCAAATGTAAAATTATCTTACGCTATTAGTGGGTTTTTTTCCGGTAAAAAAGATTAAAAACAATATAATTTTTCACCATCATTTTAATACAAACAACAAAAGAGCCGATGATTATTAAAAAATAAATAATTATAATTGACAAAAAAAATCAAAGACAACCTAAATTATTTCATCAATTATAACATCAAGTTTGTTATGAGGTTGTTGTTGATGTAGATCTTGAACCTTAAAATAGATTGAGAGGGTGGTCATACCATAGCAATACCATGTGCATGCATTTATTGAACCATTCATTATGAGTACATTATTAGCTTTGGAAATTTTTGTATCAAAAATCAAATCTAGGTTCCACGCCGGTTCCTAACCGATCAAGTTAAACTTTCAACGCCCTTCTTTTTCAGATGCATCATTTATTCACTTATCTACTTATTTTTTGGTCAATATTTAACAAATCTTATTATACATCAATTTTTGAAGAAAAAGAATGATATTCACTCGAGAAAGAATATTACAAACACCTGATGAAAATTCAAACTCTTAAGGGAATATCACAACTTAATCTTTCCTGCACTAACCCTTCATGTATGAGTTTGTTTCAAGGCATGAAATAATATATTCTAAGATCTATCTCATATTCAAACTATCTAAATTTATTATATATATTCTAATAGTTATATTTACGTATTATATTTTTATTGAATGTTAGGCAGCTTTTATTAAGTAATAGAACTGTATAGCCATATGAGTTTTGTTTCTAAGAATTCTATTATAAAAAATAATACTAAATAATAAAATTTTGATATTTTTAAGAGCTTACAAAATTAATTTGATAAAAAAAATATAATATTTCTAAGATCCATCTCAGTTAATAAATGTCAATATTATTAGAATAAATATTTTATAAAAAAAAAAAAAAAATTCTTTCTACCGTTTTGGGCTTCATGAAACATATTTAAACTAGATAGGTATTATTAGAGTTAGAAAATGTTAATTTTTAAAAAAGGTTAATTTTTTTCTTCAATGTATTGAGTATACATATTTAAAAAAACTTATCTTTTTAATTTTTTAAATAATAATCAATTTATTTTCTTAATCTCTTAAAATATATTGAGAAACATTTAGGCTTTGCATACTTTGGATTAGATCTTGTGTCTTAGAGTTCTAAAAAGCAATTATTCTTGTGTCATAGAATTCTAAAAAGCAATTTTTTCTTGTGTCTTGGGGCAGTACCTCCTATCAAATCTGAGTTATTTTAACTAGAATCTCTATTGATTGAGTTGTGTATTTTTTTTTATACTCTTGCATTATTTTGTGATAAGTTGAGTGCAATTATATTATTTTATAATTTGATTCTTTACGTCAATTTTAAATATATTGAATTTGATATTCATTTTGTACGAGATGAGTAATCTCAAAAAAATCGCTAAAAATTATATGAGTTTACTCATAATCTATTAAAAACTATTCTAAACTTAAAAAAACAATTCTTTCCATCATTTTTTTTCCTTTTTTTTTTATACATTTATCAGAGAATCAGAAAAAATACCACCATTTCGGCTTAAGCCCCACTGATATCATTTCATCTTATAAATTCACACAAGAATATAAATAATAATATTTGATCGGAAAAAATTGAGTTAAAGATATAAAATTAGAATTAAAATCATATCTATTTTCTATTCTCTCAATTTTCTATATCACTATAACTTTAGAAATGTATATGACATTATAAGAATTAAAAAAATATTATACACTTCAAAACATTTAAAAACTATAGCATAAAGTATAATAGAGAAGTAAAATAAGAAATTCCATCTTCTAAAATTGGCATAAAGTATGAATAATCATTGGAAAAATAATCTGAGTCAATAATTTCTTGCACAGTGTGTACTCAATACAATTTTGCTATCCAAATAACCTAACTATATCATTCATTTCTAAATATTGTATTTTCCATCTAATTTTGTACATAATTGATAAAATATTCCAAATCAAAATTTAATTTTCCACCTAATAACCATACTAATTAATTTCAAATATAATTAGGGTATGAAGAAAGCAAATTACTAGGTATGCATGGAGAATCTCTCCAAACCCTAGCATGCATCTTAAGAATCTCCCTAGCTTTCTCCTTAGTCTTGCTTCCACAATCAACTTGAAGAACCAAGCAAAGTTTAGCAACAACACCAAGCTTAAGCATTTCTTGAACAACATTATGAGTTGCGGAGAATCTCGAAACCGATAACAGAATCCGAACGGCTCTATCGTTTGCGACCGAGGAAACCCTAAGAATCTTCTTCGAAACAACAGCCATTCCTGCACCATGTCTCAGAAGTTCAGCTCTTCCTTCAGCACACTGACAGAGACACTCCAGCAAAACCAGCATCATTTCATTAGGTTTTCTGTCTTTGCAATTCTCTAACAGAAGTTCGATTAGGACCGGAACTGTTCCTGCTTCAACACCTTTGATTCTGTTTCTTCCACATGGACAGAGATGGATTAGTGTCTGAAGTGCCGCTTTTGATACCTTTTGTGATATTTGATCCTTCAAAACTTGCACCAGTTCGACGAATAACTCGGTTTTTTGATGGAGTAACTGCACTTGTTCAGCTACTTCTGACATGGATTTGAGTAAGAAAACTGCGTAAGCTCTTGATTCGAAGAAACCTTTCTGCATAACTTTTGTTAACGACTCGATGAATTCGCAGTTTTTGAAAGCTAGTAGGTTCTTCAATCCAGCTTCAGATACATGAAGGTTATGAAGTATGCTTAATGCTTCATCAACAGGATTAACATTAGTTTCTGATACTAACAAAGACGCGGAATCGATGTTGCAACTATTGTTTATCACAATAGAAGCTAAGAACTCAACAGCACCAGCATCTTCCATGCAGCGTTTATTTGTTTCACTTCCAGAAGCAAATGATTTAAGTTTTTTGAGAGATTTAATCTGAATGTTGAGATTTGAATGAGAAGCTTCTTTGATGAGTTTTGCGATTTGGATTTTGTTGATAGGTGGTTTCGGAGTTGGGATCCTTTCGATTCCTTGTGAAGCGTTTAGTGTACACCATGCTTGAATGAGTCTTCGAAGCGTGTGGTTTGGTGTTAGATCAGTGTAATCTGAAAGCTGTTGTTTTGTGATCGGACATGTTTTGTTTTTCTTTGAGAATAGCCATTTTTCGATGCTTTCTCTGTCGTAGGTTATGCCAGTTGAAACTGTTACTGGATCCTTCATGATTTCTAATGATATGGGACAGAGAAAATAGGTAGGAACATCAATCTCATCGTGATCCATTTCTTGTAATAGAAAAAAGAATCTAACACACTCTGATTCAGATGATTAGTCTATGCAGTTGCGAACAGATGAATACAGACAGGAGAAGGAAAGGTAAGGAAGGATTATTTGATTGGAGAATTGAGTTTGTGATGGTTTGAGAGTTTTGGAATGAAATGATGAGAGGGGTGTGGTGGTGTTATTTATATGGAGAAGCGTGTGATAAATGTGGGATTAGTCAAAAACACGGAAAAAAGTATGAGAGGCTTTGAATGAAGAGAGAGAGAGAGAGAGAGAGGGGAGAGAGAGTGTGGGCGAAGACTATTCAACATTGGAATGGAATGGCTCAACTAGTAACAATAACAACTTTAAAATACTAAGTCGTCAACGCCAACTAGACAAAAAGAGGAAGAGAAAACAAAACAATTATTAGGCACATGGGGATATGCTGTTTGACAGCTTCTATATATGGATCTTACTTTAATTCTAACTTCTATTTGTGTATATACAGTGTTTGCTTTGTGTTCTCTTTTCATTGGTTTTTCATCGAATTAATCTTATTATAAATAAGGGGTAAACGGGCATGCAGCCTTATACTATTTAAAAACGAAGCGGGATGAAACGGTTATAGTTGAGGATATGAATTTAAAAATATTATTTTCTCACAAAAAAGTGAGGGAAGGGCGGAAAACATCCGCGGACACTCCAACTTTTATGCATATACTTGTGCCCACAAAATTCGCAATAAAAAGGGATGGGGCGGAGTTGATATATTAGAAAGTGAGAGTATAAATCTTTGGTCCATCCTGCACTAAAGTGTGGACAAAACGGACATGTCTAATGAGTCAGATCTGTTTTGTCATTCCTAATTACAAATATGCAGGGTTAAAGAAACGGTCTAGTTCGTTGAATATACGAGGCAGGTCAAAAATTTAAGCGTTCGCCTTCTAATATATTTATTCTGCATTGTCATGCTTTCTCAGCGGAATTTTATAAATATTAATATTTGTAAAAAATTTTGCATTTTTAAATTTAAAAAATATTGTATTCACGGACTTTTGCGGTTCCACTAAAATATCAGTATCAACTAAAACTCATGGATATTAAAAAGTTATCATCAAATATTTAGTGAATAAAATTGTAAGACACACGCTAAGTCATCTAGCAAAGTTTCATGAATGTTAACATCAACTAATTACAAAAAATAATGTGTTTTACCTTAAAAACGCTCAACAATTTAGCTTTAGATAATCATGTTATTTATATAGCTAAATACTACTGCAAGAAAAGTAAAAACATTACTTTGAACTTTTTTTAGGAATAATTTAAACAAACTTATTTTAAAAATCAAATTGCTCTTTCTAGAAAAAAAATCAAATACTGATTGTTTAAAAGTCATATTCCATCTCTATTAATCCGAATGAATCAAGTGGACTGTCATTCATTCTCAAATTTTGAATAAATTACTTGAGAAAATTAAGTAAAAAACCTACTTCTTCCACCTAAATCAATACTATGTATGAGTTAATAATTAAAATCAAATCTTACTAATAATTTCTTAAATATTTATAAAAATATGCATAATAGATGCTTTTTTATATTTATTTTTAAATATATCATTTTAAATACATTCACCATCTACATTTTTTAAAATAGAAAATTCTATAATGAAATGTGTGGCTAACAAATGTTTAATCTTAAGAGTAAGTATCTATATTTTTGTTTAATAAAATTAGCTGATAGTTGATAAATCAGTAGTTGATAATTAAAAAGTGATAATTTATAACTGATGACGGATAGTTTATAAATTAATTTGAATGTTTATTAAATTAGTGTTATACAAACTGATAATTACAAAATAACTTAAAAAGACATTTTTAATTAAAAAAATATTGATTTTATTATCTTATTATATTATATTATTAAATTATTTTTTATTCGATAAAATAAATGTATTAATAGCAACATAAAAAATAATTTTAATACATATGAAAAACTGAAGATATCATTAAAATATATAATTTTATGAGCTTTCCTAGTATGAATATATTGATAACAAAATTCAACGAATAAAAAAACCGACATATCATACATAAGACAAATGTATTCATAAAACCATTTATAAAGACATAAAAGTAAAAGTAATCATAATAACTACAATTTTTGATTTTTTTAATTTATTCTTTTGTAACATATAACATTTTTTTTTCTTCTAATTTTATAATAAAATTTAATAAAAATATGTGAAATAATAACATTGTAATTTTGAATTCAGTTTATGTTAATTTAAAATAATAACAAAAATAAATTTATTGTCTAATATTTTAAATTTTCTTCACCTTTTTTTTGATTTCATTGATTCTTCAATATTTCATTAACTTGAAAATTATCTACACTATTTTTAAATTAATTATATAATTTATATTTAATAATGAAAATATATCTAATATAATAAAGAAAAATAGTAAGAATCTGCTAGAGCATTCTTTCAAATCTTTATAAATTTAATCTTTTACAATCAATATATATATATATATATATATATATATATATATATATATATATATATATATATATATATATATATATATATATATATATATATATATATATATATATATATATATATATATATATATATATATATATATATATATATATATGATAGTAATAAAAATATGTTTTTGTTTAAAAAATAAGAATATAATTGAGAGAAAAAGTCAGCGGCAGTTACAAGTTTAAAAACTATTTCAAATAACTTTTGAGAAAAAAAAATAAAAGTCAGTTAAAATGTTATATGTTAAAGTTTAAAAAATAGTTACCAAACAAAATTTTTTAATTAAAAAAATTAAAAGATAAATACCAAAATCTATTTTTTATTCGTACCAAACAAAATCTACTAATATTTCTCAATGATATCTCAAAAAATATATACAATTACTTCTCATAATTTAGTTTATTACAAACCGACACTATGCCAAAACAGACCTTTAGCAGCGCTTTTTTTGACCTTTAGCAGCGCTTTAAAGCGCTGCCTAAAGTGGCGCTGCTAAAGGTAAAGGCAGCGCTTTTTTTGTGGAAAAAGCGCTGCTAAAGACATCACCTTTAGCAGCGCTTTTTTACCCCTTTAGCAGCGCTTTTTAAAGCGCTGCCTAATCTCCCCCCCCCCCCTCCCCCCTATAGCAGCGCTGTCTTAGACCCCCCCCTATAGCAGCGCTTTATTAAAGCGCTGTCTTAGACCCCTCTTTCCCCACCTATAGCAGCGCTTTTTTAGCAGTTTCACTGTCCCCTTTAGCAGCGCTTATACATAAAAGCGCTGTCTAATGTGCACGTTTTGAAAAACATTATCCTCCGGAAGCATCTCTTGAAGTAGGGAAGAACATTATCCTCCGGAAGAACATTATCCTCCGGAAGCATCTCTTGAAGTAGGGCTAACAACTCTGTGAAACTTTTATCCGACCATCCATTACCCGCCTTTAAGTTGTACAACTTTAATACCGCAGACAATCTTGTGAAAGTAGTGCAACCTTTATACAACGGCTTCTCTGCATCGCTTACCAACCTCTCAAACATCTTTGGACAATCTTTAAGATCTTCTTCAAGTGCTTCTGCAATATCTTCGACTCGATCACAATCGTATGTATCCCTACCATTGTCCTTTGAAGTAGAGGTCGTATTGTTCTGGGGTTCAACATTCTCGTTACTTATCTCACCGTGTAATGTCCAACATGTGTAACTTCGATCAATTCCATGTCTCATTAAATGAGATTCCAACTGAACCGCGTCAATTCGACGCCCATAACAGCAACCTAAGCAAGGACATGTGATCCTACTGGGGTCTTTGGCGTGTTCAACAGCAAACTTAACGAAGTTCGATACCCCATTCTCGTACTCTTTTGACAATCGATTAACAGACATCCAATTTTTATCCATACTATGAAAGTTAGGCAAAAACAGAGAATACCTGTAAAGAAATCACTAACTTCTAAGAAAGTTGTACAGTAGGATGCTTGGAAACAATCACAACCTTGCTCTTCTCAGGTAACCCCTATAACAGACAATATATACATTTTATTAAAATCATATTAATAATTAACCAAAACAAAATAACTAGATAATCCAACAAAACAAATCATATTAAAAAAAAGTAGATATACTATAATAAACTATTCTACTATTAAAGCATACTTTCATTAATATGATTTTAAACTATTCTAAACTATTTTATAATGCTCAAAATGACATGGACTAAATTAAAGCATACTCTCATAAATGGTGGAAATGGACTAAATTATTCTAAACTATTCTAAACTATTTCATTAATATGATTTTAAACTATTCTAAACTATTAAATCATACTCTCAAAAATGGTGGAAATGGACTAAATTATTCTAAACTATTCTAAACTATTGCATTAATATGATTTTAAACTATTCTAAATTATTAAAGCATACTCTCAAAAATTTTGGTAATGGACTAAATTATTCTAAACTAATTTATAATGCTCAAAATTCATTGTGGCATTTCAACAAACACCTTGCATACAAAACTCAAGCCAATATCAAAAGAGTAATGCTCATCAATGGTATCAACAAAAACAAGTCAATAACTCAGAAAGAAGTAGCACTAACATCATCTAATCCAGAAAAATGCAATACTAAGACAATAATCCATAAAAATGCCGTAACAGTCGCGGATTTACCGTAACGGTGGAGGAGAACGAACGGTGAACGGCGGCGAAAACAAATGGAAGACGGCGGCGCAAACGGACGGCGACGAAAGCTTCAACGGAGGGCGAAAATGGAAGATAGGGCAATGGAGAAATGAAGAAACGAAGAAGAAAACGAAAAAACGCGTGTTCTGTTTCGTTTACAATTCTGGAGGGTATATAAAAATTATTATACTAATACCTTTAGCAGCGCTTTTTAAAGGCCTTTAGCAGCGCTTTTAAAAGCGCTTTCATAGGGTGCATTAGCAATGACATATAGCAGCGCTTTATAAAAAAAGCGCTCTCGTAGGGT